ATGAAATGGTACGAAATATTTTGGCCTTCAAAAAATACATTTGTATCACCGCATGGCAGACACAGTCATGCAGGGCAGTTAACATATTGAGACGTTTACAAAGTTTTAATCAGCCGACTTCGCAGGAGCATCACAGCATGGCTCAAATAGGGCTAAACTGCGTCGAGGGAACATCAGTTTTCCACGTTTGCGCCTTGCTTGTCATTGAGAGCGAGTATTCGAGCCACTGAATTAGGAACATGAAATGTGCCTCCCATGCTTGAGAGTAGAGCGCACTTTCCTTTAAAATATGCTGAACCGTCCGTGTAACAGGTCTAAAATAACAACAGAGGAAGTCGCACTAACTCCATGCTCTGACAAGTGTTCCATATTGGTCCCACGTCTTTACGCCAAGACGTTTTTGTACCAAAGGAGAGCAGAGCTTCCAGGGTTGGAGAACAGGGCCTCCACATGGCTACATGTCTCAGAAGTGTGCCTGCACCGCCATCCCTTGCTACAATTTTACGAGTCTACCTGGGTCTCATTTTCTGCTACCTCGTGTACTATTCTTTGCGTCACTAAACTATCTTCGCTATGATATGCGCGCGACAAAAAACATTTTGTAAAATCTACAAACCGCAGTCAGCAACACTTTGTTACAAGTACGTGCTCCACCCACTACACAATGTCTACGCCCCGTGCATTGCTCCTCCATTTTGTTGGACAGGCTAAGCCCGTGCGTGGCGTACATATGTTCCGTTTGTTCCCGTCTGCTATTTTAAGAAGACTGCGTAACCCGTTGCATGATTAAAAATATAGTCCCCGAGGTATGATATCTCGTCAATGAAGGCTTCAACTTCCTAAGCGACTGGCGCTGCATCGCCACCAGACCCGACCAGTCTCACTACATGGCACCCAACGCACGCGTCTGTACCTGCACGGCACGCGCGTACCACCCACCAGCCCCGTAGCCCACGCGTCAAGAACTCGACGTTGACGCCCTGCCCAACCGCTTGTACATGACGCGGCAGGCGCGGTGCGGCAGGATCGGCGTCACGTCCACGGCCCGCTCCAGCGCCGAGCCGGCGTAGTCGGTCTCGCAGCCGACCTCAAAGCCGAGGCGCTCGTAGATGCGCTGCGTGGTGCTGGACGTGCAGAAGCAGAGCGAGACGGGCGCGCCGGAGCGCACGGCGCCCTCCACCGACGTGCGGTGACACAGCTCCGATCCCACGCCCAGGCCACCGTACCTGCCGGCAGGAGCGTAGCCTTGCATCTGACGGATCCCTGCGATGGTGGCGCCACCGCTGGGAATGTTAACATTACAGAGTGCCTGCGATGGTGACGCCACCACCGGCGATACAAACAACGCACGGTCACTGCGATGGTGGTGCCATCGCTGGGAATGTGAACAACGCAGGGAATAGCTTCATAGGGTCGACGCGATTTCACCTTTTGGTGAGCAGTGGTCAATATTCAGAGCATGCTTATAGTCAGCCTGAACATCAGGATCTTTCATCATGAATCATATTTGCAGCGGAGTAGCGTGGTAGTGAAAAATGTTCTGTGGCAATAGACCGTATGTACATTGCAAATAAACAAAACAACATCGAGATATAGCCCCATTATTTACGATACTATATTGGAAACCACCTCACCTGGGGTCAACAGCCAGGAGAAGATTCTCAGACACCGTGGGCACGTTCAGGCTCTTGAAAGCGTCGAAGCTGTGACCGACCTCGTCCATGAAGCTGCCGTAGACGCGGGCGGCCTCGCTGCCCGTCTCGTACAGGCGCCAGTACGGGTCGCGCTCGTCGACGCCGTAAACACCGCACATGCTGGCGCCGATGACGCAGCCGGTGCCGACGTCCAGCGCCAGCCAGCTGGCGTCCCAGTGCCACTCGGGGAGCGAGGCACTGAGCCAGAGCCGGTGATCTTCGGGCGTGCCACCCGCGAGGCCGGAGAGCACTGAGAACTGACAACCGCATGACCTGGGTTTAACCACTGAGGGGGGCATATCCCTCATACTTTCGCAGCATGTGATTTTGTTCCTTCTAGTGTTCCCCGTGCCATAATTTTTCACCTTTCATCACAAAACGTCATTTTCGGATCTTGCTGCTCCCCAGACTTCAGTTTGCCACCCCCGCCTCCAATCCTGATGTCTCCAATCTCCAAAGTGGTTCCATTCATACAGCAGGCGACCCTTGTTCTTGCTGCTCATTATTTAGCGCTGTTGAATGAGCGGTATTGGCTATCTTTGAATGAGTGAAAAGCGCAGTCTCACCAGTGCGCAACGTTTTCAGTTTCTTGTGAGGAGTCGCATTTACGTTTGTACTACGTCAGTGGATCATTCGTATAATAAACTGAATGGTCCTTTGGCATCAACTCGCTAAGATCGATGCACTCGTTACGAGCTGCCTATTATCACACGACCGTGTATTTGTCACGCTGATATCATTTCGATGCGGTCACCACGACCTCATTGATGTACACTCCAGTGACGTCTGTAATCGCTGAGTGCCCAACTCTTACCGTGGGTTCACGCGTAAAGAAACAGCTGACCATCAGATCAAGGGCTTCGTCCAGTCTGTCGTGGCTTAGTTTCGTGTACTCTATGGTCGGGTGATCCATACCGTTTGACAGCTGCTGGCATGACGTCATGACCTGGAGCGCTGCAAGCAAAACAATCCATTTGTGACGATAACTACTTATGACCTCAGTGACATCATTCGGAAATCCGGTATTCTGACCTACGAGTATCCGACGCCATGGTTTTTATTAAGTACTTTCTTGGCATGCAAAATTCCTTAAAAATGGATCAAAAGCTGTTTATGACTCAAGTCTACTCAATTCAAAGATGCGTGTGCCGGCATATCACTGCGGCGCGCCGTATTGGGAATTCTTGTTTGTTTGTAATACCAATGACGTCATAGTTCGGAGACGCGCACAGTCGGTCAGTTGGGAAGGGAGGGCGGAATCGTCGGTACACGGCGGCTGGATGCATATGATCGCGACGGGCAGATCCGACCCGTATGGGTTTCGCGCCAATTGCAGTGCATGATCCTCGATCGAACCCACTTCTTCCTACCTATTTCTGAAGGACTGCTCACTATAAAACTCATGGCGGGCAGTCCTTAACACTTATGGTGGGCAATATATGTAATCCAGCGTAAGATTTAACCAGTGTTTCAGTGACCTGCAAATCTGAAGAAAGGTCACGTGATTTGTAAGCACAAAAATGTGTCCTATGACCATGGGTGTACGAACATGGGGGGAGAGAGGCATGGAGGCCATGGTCCCCAACTTTTGACGGTGGGGGGCGGCAGTGTGAACTGCTCCCCCCCCCCCCCACTTTTCATTTTAAGGCTGTGTTTGGCTTACTTTTGCACTAAATCAAACATATATGCCGATTTATCTAGTTCACCAGCCATCTTCCTCAAGATGCGCCATCTTTTTTGGTTGCCCATTGGCCACCACTTAACACGCGCCCGGGTGGCCGGCTAGGTACCCTTCGCTCGGATGAGGGGGGGGGGGGGGAGGTCAGTTTGACCACTCCCTGAGATCTCAGGTACTAAGAGAGCTAGAAACACCAAATTTACAGGGTGTGTTGAACTATATATGAACTCACTTAGGTCAATGTTTTAGATTCCTAGGTCATTTTTTTATTTCACCCTCGGTTCAAAAATGGTCAAACAAGATCAAGTTCCAGGTTGGTCTCCAAAATGCCCCCAGAACCTAGATAACCGTTTCTAAGCAAAAGATCACATTCTCATTCAAGGTCAGTGACCTTCTTTGATCTTTTGAAGGTCGAGGTGACCAAAATCATACAAGATTGCTTTTAGTTTTGCATTTGACTAAGCGACAAAGATTATGCTAGGCAGTGTGTTCCTAAGGCAAAATGTTGACCTGGGTCATTTTACGTCAATGACCTATTCTGACGTCTAAGAAGTCCATGGAAAATGTGTGATGCGGTTCCTGCTATCACTTAGCTCGAAATGAGCACCAGAAACTATCCCCTACAGCAAGCCCTAAAGTGACAAAACAGGTTGGTTTTGACGTTGGTGTGACCTTCATACCTGACCTTAGGTCAATTCCATTTGCATATTCAACTGTTGTGTTGCCTAAGAAAGCATTTCAGAGATGTATGGCTTTGTCTAACACCCTGTTGTTGGATCCGATTGAAGGATTCCCTAGAAATTGCCTTCGCTGGAACTGTGGTCGGACTTTGACCCGCTGCAGGTCAGCGAACGTACAAGGTACATCTAAATTTTTGATACCAAACGATCCGCTTCTCAATTGTCTACAGCTACACAAAATTTGGCACGGCTAAGCCGCGCTGTTCGGAAACCATTCTGGAAAAACCTTGGGAGGTCAATTTGACCCACACCCACACGAGTGCGTGTCAATGCTACAGCCGCAGGGCCAACGCCGGGAAGCCTATGGAGACTTCAACGCCGGTTATCGAGGCGGTTGTTGCTATGCCTTGCGAGCGCGCATTTTCAAACTATGTTACCTAGTTTTTATCCGTAATCAATTCTGACTGAATCTTGAACATTTTAAGACGAACAGGAATTAGGCATGCTCATACAAATTTGGGAGCCCATTTCATTTGCAATCTACGTTCAGAGGTCCTCAATATCTCTGAAGAACACTAAAAAACATGAAACCGGAGCCTACGTGACAACTATTGGACCACTTGCGGCGATCAGTGATGCTGTTGCGTCAGTGGGGTTTTCTGTGCTGATACAGGGCCAACTGTGCAGGTCAGAAGGTCTCCCGCGTCAAGGAAGGGAACAATTTGATATGATAAATCCTTTGAATAGCCTCCGGACCGATCAGGAGATCCCGCTCCGTGTCGTCAGAATGACAGCCAGAGGGCACTTTGCGATGAGACGGAATGGTCCTTCAGCCCTTGACCTGAAACGTAATGTGTCCCGGGTGTTCTACTCAAGAGACCCTCGCCTGGAAGAAACTAAGGGGTCTCAATATTGTTGAGTAGGGCAGTAGCCTCATTATTGCTGAATGGAATGGGTTAAAATGAGCTGAAAAAACAAACAAGGTCATCCCACGTTTGCCTGAGAGAGGGCATTTTTTCAGAATGGATTACGAAAACGAATTACATCGAAGTGTTTGAACATGCCCGCACGCACCCTCGAGTGCATGGGCAGCGATGGCCTGGATTGCAGCTCCCGTAAAACCGAACGGCGTCGGCCACTGGAAGCGTCACCAGACGGCGGGCGCCGTGCTTATCTGTCTTCTGGACAAATCAATAGTTACAGAAACGCGAAAAAAATGGATTTTACCCTTGCTTTTCCAATTCCATGACCAGATTCCAGCATTGCTTTGTGGTGCTTTGAGCGACAATCCGTCCTTATCATAAGTCTAAAAATCGCGCACGTGGAATATGTGCCCAGACTGTCTTCTGAATGTAACATTTCACGTCATGAAGCATTCAAAGGTTTTTTATAAGTGCTATCATTTTCGAACATTCGCTGGCCACGGCTTGATATTGACAGTTGAGTCGACACTCCGGGGCCTGGAGAGACTGCAACGCCTGGCGTCGAGGTTTTTGTTGCTAAGATTTGCGAGTGCGTATGCTCAAAATTATGTCACATAACTTGTGTTACTAATCTATTTAAGTGTCTAAAGGCAGTTATTTCAGAAGCGTCGTCATTTTTGTCCGCCAGTTGGACAATTCTAAAAGTTAGTCGATGGGCTAACGCTCCGTGGACTATGGAAATTGCAACGCCTGGTGTGGAGGTTTTTGTTGCTAAGATTTGCGAGCGTGCATGCTAAAAAACTGTCTTGCATAAATTGTATCACGAATCGGCTCGGACTGGATGTTGAATGTTTCCAACCAAACTTGGTCTGGTCGTGTTGATACACGTTGTCGACCACTCGATCTACAACCAAATTTTCACATTTAAATTTCCATCAAACGAAACGAACTACAATCTACCTTTGCGATATCTCTAATGTCTGTAGAACCAGCATAAAACATTCTGACAAAGCTTCGAAATTCTTTCGTTTTAGAAAAAGCTCACTAAGCCATTGTAAATTAAGGGCGCCGTTGATTTATTTCATGCAGTCGTTAAGCGCCTGATTTTTGCAGTTTATTGATTTCAAAATACAAACATACTTGATCTCACGGTAGCTTTTGTTTTCTGTTCTGGCTGTAACGTAAAAATAGCAGTAAGACGAAGAAGCCTGTGTCCCTTGTTAACAAGTAAGCTCTGTCCGGTTCTTTTAGGGGGGCGGGAGGTCATCATAAGGGGGTCTTTTTTCAACCCCGCGTTCCTCCTTGGCAAGGCTCTAGCTATGCCAGTGGATACACACAAAAGCAGACCAAGTCATCTAAGTTGAATGATGGGCAATGCCATGTCCGTTGAGCCAATTCATGCCTAAGGCAGGCAGCTTCTCGGAGTTTTTTTTTCTGCGGTGGTGTGGTGTAAAGGAAGATAATTCGGAAAGATATACTGTTGCAAGTGTCTGACATATGTCTTACAGACCAATAAGAAGTAATGCTGATCTGGAAATATGCCACGAAACATACATGCGATCAGTTCGCAGTCAGCCGGGACTGGGCAGTGGCCGCCGACAGCGGACTGAAGCAGGGCTAATGTAAGGAATATATGACAAAAGAGTCTTCATTCTGTGGCTTGTTTTTTAAGGGGAATTCCCAGTTGCAGGGCTTTTGTCGCACTGTTTTTGGCAGCTTTAAGGTTCCCGTTCCCGTTCCCGTCCAATTCTAATTTTTCCCGTCTAAAATGCTGCGGCAAGTCTTATCTCTCAAAAGTCAACCAGCGAAATGAAGGCGCATAACAAATTTATCGCACTGTGAGCCATCGATTTGCTTTCAAAATTCACACCAACCTACGTTCAGGCCGTCTTTTGGAATTTACTCTGTGGAGGCAGATGCCTCCTTAATGACCCAAAATGCCTGTCCGTGCATGGAATTTCACTTCCCCAAGAAAGACAGTGTTGAAATGGACCAGTAATTCTGGGAAGCTAGACAGCCTTATTTACCGAATGACATGGATGAGTCGGACAGGCAAAATTGCGCACCAGTGAAAAACAGCTCCAGGTGCATATCTAGCAAAAGAGTCATGATATTTGAATAAAGGGCGATAAAAATCGCTATCTTTACCCCCACTCCCTTCCACCGGTCATCGGGCTTGCTGTCCAGAAAAAGTTCCTGAAGCAAGCCCTCAGCTTACCAGCCCCACTTATTGAGACGTTCCTACGCCTATGCCTATGGCTGACGTAACCTAGCCCTGACCTATGGCTTGACCATTGGCCTTGCCAACCTACGATGTACGGTGTTTCAGTTTGGCCACTTCGGTGGCAGGGATGTTGATATTTTTAGGTTATCAAACCCCGGTTTAAAGTTTACTGCCTGTTGCCCCCCCCCCTTACTACAAAAACAGCCAATCATCATCAAACCAGGCGGCAGTCAACCCAGCATCTATGCGGCTGGGGCTTGATAAATGGGCCGGGCAGGTCAGATGTCTGGGTCCGGGTTCAAAGGGCAGCGGATTAGTGCCAACAAATTGCGTGCAGTGGGCGCGGCAGAACCAGGATTCTGATGCATTGACCAATATTTATCTTGGACACCGAACTGGATTAATTTTGGTGCAATGATTTATCCGACCGACATGACGCTGACGATAGCGTGCTGGTGGCAGCTACAGATCCAGAATCCGAAAAGAGAATACCAATACCATATAGTGTCCAGAGATATTGACATCTGTTTCATTATTTCCAGTTCTATCATTACATCCTGAGATGGCCGCATAACCTTCTCCCCCCCCCCCCCCCCCCCCCGGTAGCCGACCGGACATGCCCCAGGCGGCGACGAATCAACGTCTTCCGAGCCAAACAACTGTCGATCAAAGGAAATACAAAATCGAGCTCTTTCTAACCCAAGGGTAGCTCACCATCTTCAGATGTGCAAAGCCATAGGTAAGAAAAAGCACGCTGCCCGCGCCTGAACGGGGTCTCCGACACATACATCCGAAGGCAGATATTTACAAAGCATTCTGGGTTTTCATGAAACTGAATATAAATGTTTCATCTCCCAGGGCGTTATGCGGTAGACTTCCGAATCAAAGTGCATGTTAAACCATACGTTCTTGGTTATTACAGGCATGCTTACATACTGAAAAAAATCCCCCTTGATCGACTTTTTTCAGCCAAACGTTTCGACAACGGCAGCAGTTCACTGGAAAATGTGTGTTGCAGTGGCGACTGCAAAACAATCTAAGTGCCTTCTGCACATCTAGTTTTACAGCGTTACCATCATTAAAAACTCACAACATTGGCGAATATTTCGTACCGCCCGGGATGTATGCTAATGTTCACGCTCAGAAAGGGCAAGATGCTTTTCATATTTCTGATTATGTGGAAATGTAGTGCGGATCAAAGTAGTGGATAGCATTCTTCCATGTCCCCTCTCACCCACGTCCCTCCCCCTCCTCTGCCTTTCATCTTTTCCCTCCCGTCTCCCTCCCTTCCTTCACTCACCTACCCACAGAAACATTCAATTCCTGCCTCTCTTTTACCGTTGTTCCCTTCCTTCCTTTTTCACTCACTCTCCGACTGCCTCTCCCATTGCGCGGTGCACTACACAGTTCCCAACTCGTGATACAGCAGCACGGGTGTGCCCAACTGGTGATGTGGCACCTACTGGCGGTGTCGCACCTACTGTACTAGTGGTGTGGCACCTACTGGTGATGTGACACCTTCGGTGGCGTGGCACCTACTGTACTAGCGGTGTGGCACCTACTGGTGATGTGACACCTTCGGTGGCGTGGCACCCACTGTACTAGTGGTGTGGCACCAACTGGTGATGTGGCACCTACTGGTTGTGTGACATCTTCGGTAGTGTGGCACCAACTGGTGATGTAGCACCTACTAGTGGTGTGGCATCAACTGGTGATGTGGCACCTACTGGTGGTGTGGCACCCAATGGAGGTGTGACACCTACGGTGGTGTAGCCGGTCTGGAAATCGTGCTCGCAGACCCCAAATACGAACGATTTTACAGCTATGTTTTTGGGCCGTGATCGTCACATGGCTGATGGCATGACCGGATTTGAATGCCATTATTATGGAGTCATGGATGCCTGGGTGTCCACGAAATAGTCTCTCCAAAATAGTCTGCTCTTTTTCGTGGGCTGGTAGCTCAGAGACTAAATGAGCTTAGGTCTTTTGAAGCGCAGGGCTATGAAATGAATCACCGAATGACCTTCCAGTTGACTATTTCAGTTCAAAACTCCACACAGATTTAGCACTCTCATTAAGATTTCGTTCATTCGCTCTTGTTGGGAAAAACAAGTGGGCCATGGTAACAATAGAATGCATCGCTGCATGCCTCTTTACATGGATCAATGAAAAAGGAGCTACTCAAATTAAGCTAAGATGTAAAGGTTGCGACGAGACGTCTGAGTGCGGCTTTTTGAAACCGATGCACGCAGCTACGGGAAACAGCACCAACATAGTTTTCACGGTGTGCGTTTTGGAATTGCCGCAGTATGTAAGAAACATATCGCACTGGTGTTGATGAGAAAAACCTGAAATATGCCATGTGGGATGTGCCGCTGACCGCAGCGACCAGAACGGGTTTTCTTGAAGAAGCCTGTTAAAGCATGACGTCACTCCGCCAGTCACCCCGGCCATTGTCTGCGGCTTTGTGGAGCCGAGGCACACCGGTGAGTGACGTCAACATACCGAAGAACCAATCTCATCGGCTAGAGTGCAGCTATGAGGCTCAGGACAATCCTAAATAGCGGTGAAGATGCCAACACTAGTGAGCCGTGGAACTGCCGACACGGATGATGTCACGGGGCGACACGGGGTGCCGCCGACACGCATGACGTCACGGAGGTGCCGCCGACACGTATGACTTCACGGAGGTGCCGCCGACACGCGTGACGCCACGCACTTGGCGGCCGGACCTGGCAGCGGTGACGGTGCCCGAGCCAGGCCGACCGCAGCGCCGCCCTGGCAGTGCGACTCGGAAGCGTGAGCGTCTCCAAAGTCCACCAGAGAGCGCGCGCGCGGCTACAGCGTCTGCGGCAGCTTGGCCTCGACCGTGACGATGATGGTATAACGGTAGAGGGGCAGGAGCGCGGCCTTGTGGGTAGCCGACGCCGGCAGTGCAGGTGGCCGCATGGCAACCCGCACCACCACCTTGTTGGCCTGGTGCCACATCACCACACTGAGGAGCGCCGCAGGCGGTGTCAGTCGCGCAGCTGAGGCGCCGACCCGCCCGTCCATCCCATCATCCACATTGTCACCACCACACACGTCACACATTTTGTACTGAAAGAAATTCATTACCATGCACTGTTAATGCAGAACAATTCTAAGCCCTCGCCATATCTCTACTAACGACGAATACAAGCAGTTGTATTTTCCATCACGGTCCACTGCGGAACAGCTGAACGCTTCATATTCCTGTTATGGAAGAACATCAAACAGCGAAGCGTCCTATAACGCTCACGGCGCACCTATGTGTGTCATGCATCGCTGACACGCGTTTTTCAGGGCGCACATTGCCGAGCACGCTCACCAGCGAGCCTGCGGCTATTTACTGGTGGACGCAATCAATTAGCGGGGCTCGGATTTCTCTGAGCAGTTCTCATGCTGAAATATGCGGCAAAGCTCACATATTCACGCTCCGACACGCAAGAGGCACGGCCTTCATTTTAAAACAGTCAATGAAATAATGATTAGATTATATAAAAGCTGCCTTAATAAGGCTGCTTTCTCTCTTAAAGCAAGTACAGCCACTGTATTACCACAACTCACATGAGCTCATTATAAAATGCAGTTTCTGCCGTAGGCAGAGATCGCGCTCGCTACGCGCGACGAACCAGCCGAGTTTGATGACGCGCCCACGTCGCCTGAGTTTAGACACTGTCCCAGGTCGGGGTTATGTGTGACACCAGGTCAATGGGTCACGCTAAGCCGGGTCAGAGGACCAGATGGCCAGAAAGTTCCAACACTAATTTTATGCATGTCATGCTGATCACGCGATTGGTATATAAGTGCCTTTGTTGAACTTCGTCATGTTAATGCCACGTGTGTCTGTTTTTGTTTGCTAGTTCGCCACCAGCGCGCCGGCGTGACGCAGCTGCCCTCCAGTGAGCCACCTTACAGACGCGCATTTGTTTCAATACAACACGGGCTACACACGCAAAGGCAGCTGGCAATGATCCGCACAGCAGTCGCCTTCATGCCCGTCTGAGCTCTTGAGACCCATTTTCCAAACGGGAACGAGGCCGAGGTCCGCGATTTGCAATGCTCGGCGTCCCTCACACAATTACCCGGTTTACATGGGCAGCCGAGGATAATTCGAATTAAGATCGGAACGGATCATGCGACGTTAACCCTCTCGGCGAGGGGCGTTTACATGGGCGAAACCGGCTTTACGTCGGATTAACGGTCGATAGTTCGATCCCGCTTAGTTCGAACCAAGGAACGGGTTATGGGCGAAAACTGCGCTTTTGAGGCGAACTGAACAAAACAAGAAGAAAAAAAGCCGGTACTCTGCGTATGGATGGCGAATGTCACGAGCCATGGTGGGCGCGAGACAGCTTTGAGGGCGAGGAGGAAGATGGACTTCGTTGGAAAAATGATCTGTGCGGGACTCACAGGCTTTGTAGCTACAGCACAAGCCATAGCACTTGAAACACAGGAGTTGCGCAGTCAGCACTGCCAAATCTGTCACATAAGCAGTGTTATATGCAAATTTTTACTAGCAGGAAACTGGCTAGCACGAAATCAGTATTTTCTTGTATTGGCCAATGACACTCACAAACTTACCACACTCATCAGCATGCCACCCAGCATCATGTCATCTACTTTGCGCAGCCCAAGAAACACATTACCTAATCCTGCACCAATGCATTTATGAGCAGCCTGCAACAGTGAGCTAAGCTACAGAAATGACTCATGAATGCTACATAGTTAGTGGCAAAAATTGTGTAACTATGTTGTCTTTCCCCATCCAATGCATCATCAGTACCTGAGGGCAGCATTGCCATTTAGACTTGGCATGGACTGGCAAGTCAGAATGCAGCTATTTGCTTTCTTGACATACTAGGGTTGAAATACTGCTTTGATATCCTTGCAGTCAACAGCATTGGCTGATATGGACTGATGGCTAGGTGGCACAAACAGCCGTGTTCGCACAGTCCAAAGATCATAACGTGAACCAGCCCCAGAGCTGTCATGACAAAAGCAATCTGGGCTCAAAATTCATAACAAATGATTAATTATAGCAACAGCTCAATTATCCACCTCATGGTTTGCAAAGATATGTGTCACAAAAAAGCACCAAGGCAACATATTTACTCACCAGTACAAAAACAGGTAATGATGTGCACTGCAGATGTTCTCTGCACATCATGTGGCATTAGGTTAGGTTTACTTAGTTTATGCACTGTTTTCTTCCACATGAAATGCACAAACCTGGATTTGACAGAGTACTGATGACAGCTAATTTCATCCAGTGCTCACATTTGCGTTCTTGACATTTTGGAACCATCACTGGGCAATTTTGGTCCCATCATTAAAAATAGTTCACATTCTGCACTGACTGCAATGATCTATTGCCTATATTTGTTGATCCTTTGCATCATGCAGGAATTATTGAGTTACCTATCTCACACACATTAAACTGACAAGCAACAAACAGCCTAATTGCATCAAAAACAAATATTCCAGCCCCCACTTCCTTGCCAGTTGGTCTACCAGTGTGACATAACTTCATATTTCCTTGACAAGCCAGTCACCAATATCCAGCACATCCCTCCTGCCAATAGGTGGTCAACCAAATGTTCAAGTCACAGGAGGAATGTCTGCAAAATCAATCCTGGGGCATTTATGTATTCACCTAATGAAAGAAACTATTGGTACTCCCTGCAAGAATTGTTGAACAGTTGAATTACCTACCTCATGGCCTGCAGACACCCATCACAAAAAGCACCAAGGTGACATATTTAATCACCAGCACAAAAACAGGTGATGATATGCAACACAGACGTGTTCTCCATGCAGCATGTGCCATCGTGTTAGGTGTTAGTTTATGCACTGTTTTCCTGCACATGGAACACACAAACTTGGATTTAGCAGAGTAATGATGACAACTATTTCCATCCAGTGTTCACATTTGCTTTCTTGCTGTTTTGACCCCATCATTGGGCGACTTCAGTCCTACCATTAAAAAAGTTCACATTCCGAGCTGAGTGCAATGATCTATATTTGTTCATCCGTCATATCATGCAGCAATTTTTAAGCTACCTTTCTCACACAAATTAAACTGACAAGCAACCAGCATCCTAATTTAAGGAACATCTGCAAAAACACTCCTGGGGACTTAAGGTATTAACTTAATGAACGAAACTTGGATGCATTCTCTGCAAGAATTTTGAGCAATCCAAAAATTAAAATGAGAACAAGTCAAAGCTATATAAAATAACCATATTACCTCCATCTGGCTTTTGGAAGCATGGAGCCTGCCCCAGATGTAAACTAATCTAACTTTTAGGCGGAAAGATAGCACCAAACACCGTCGACGCCTGCTGTCTGCATAGATCAAGCGCCTAGCAAGGCTAAATTACGTGAGCATTTCTGTGCTGCTAGCCACTCAAGGCCCTCAATAATAAGAGTAGTTTTAGCAGCATGATGTCAACTTCACCTTCCTTCTCTTTTCCCTTACCATCTTGGACTTGAACCGTCTCGAGCAATAGCTAAAAACCCGTGGAAAAGCGGTAACACCGCACAAAGCTGAAATGGCTATGAACAGAACTGCGTGCGCCAGGCATTTTTTTTTTTTTTTGTTTAGACAGCTGACGGCCGATAATTCGGACGAAATCCCTTCCTGAACGGATGATCCTCTCACGGGAAGGGATTTCCTCCGGCGCACGATTCGAATCAGCGGAACGGCGCGTGAGTGTATACATGGGCCGGATAGTTCGGATCGAGGACGGGTCCCGGCTTAATTCGAATCACAGCTGCCCATGTAAACAGGGTAAATGAGGAGCTCCTGTGTCGGTCAGGGGCCGGATTGCCTAAAAGGGGTCATGTGGCGGCAAGTGGCCCCGATTCGCCCTGAAGCGGTGTTTGTGTAGGTGTAGTGTGGATCAAAGCAGTAAATAACATTTTCCCCACGTCTCCTCTCCCCCGTGTCCCTTCTCATCATACGGCAACACGGGTGCGCCCAACTGGTGGTGTGGTACCTGCTGTACTAGTGGTGTGGCACAAACTGGTGATGCGGCACCTACTGGTGGTGTGGCACCTACCTTACTAGTAGTGTAGCACCTACTGGTGGTGTGGCACCTACTGTACTAGTGGTGTGGCACCAACTGGTGATGTAGCACCTACTAGTGGTGTGGCACCTACTGATGGTGAAGCACCTTCTGTGCTAGTGGTGTGGCACCAACTGGTGATGTAGCACCTACTAGTGGTGTGGCACCTACTGATGGTGAAGCACCTACTGTGCTAGTGGTGTGGCACCAACTGGTGATGTAGCACCTACTAGTGGTGTGGCACCTACTGATGGTGAAGCACCTACTGTGCTAGTGGTGTGGCACCAACTGGTGATGTAGCACCTACTAGTGTTGTTGCACCTACTGATGATGAAGCACCTACTGTACTAGTGGTGTGGCACCAACTGGTGATGCGGCACGTACTGGTGGTGTGGCACCTACCGTACTAGTAGTGTAGCACCTACTGGTGGTGTGGCACCTCCTACTGGTGGTGTGGCACCTACTGATGGTGTGGCACCTACTGATAGTGTGGCACCTACCGATAGTGTGGCACCTACTGGCGGTCTGGCACCTATTGGTGGTGTGGTGCCTACTGGTGGCGAGGCACTTACTGGTGGTCTGGCACCTACTGGTGGTGTAGCACCTACTAGTGGTGTGGCACCTATTGTTGGGGTGGCCCCTTCCCCTTTCCCGCAGGTGTGGCAGCTTTGTTTTGACACAATCAGCTGCTTTTCAAGTGCGTGCTCTTA